GTCTCACATTGTCTGCCTAGCTGAGATGGAATGAATACGCTGAGTCAATAGCTTTGTCTACTGCTAGGAAAGTTGGCTCCCTATGCTGTGCCAGGAAATTTTTCTCACTGATGTCAATCCTTCAACTCTACAAATCCAACATTCGCCCTTCCATGAAGTATTGCTGTCATATATGGTCTGGAGCCCCTTCTAATTGACTCAACATCCTTGATAAAATCCAAAGACGGATATACAATGTAATTGGCCCTGATCTAGCATCTTGTCTGCAGCCACTCTCACAGATGTGCTGTTGCCTCCCTCTGTCTTTTTTACAAATATCTTCACGGTAACTGCTCTGATGAGCTGCTTTTGCTGGTTCCCAGACTTCATGAATTTAAGCACTCAACTAGGATGGCATCTTGCTCTCACCCTTTCACTGTTGAAACTGTTAAATGTAGCCGTCTCTTCTATTTCAATAGCTTCATGCCTCACACCTCTTGAAGTCCCTCCCCATTTCTTGTTTTCCTGATAGCTATAATCTCCAACTATTCAAATGTAATGTCAATCGACGTCTCCAGATGCCCTGATCTATCCCCTATCCTTCTCTTCATCCTTTCCTCCATCACTCCTCTTTGTATTGCTCCAACTCTCTGTAATCCCATGCGTGCTAGTGGCTTCCTGCATTGCTTGGAGTTGAATGCTTAAAAAAAAAAAAAATTCATTTGGTAAATAAATATAAAATTCACAAAGGTTTCCAATGGTAGTGTGGCTTTTCAGACACCCTGTGTGTGTGTGTGTGTGTGTATATATATATATATAAGATCTGATTTAAAAGTATCAGTACTGTTGTTATAGTAATGGAACTAAAGTACATAGAGTAAAGCCACTTGTTACAGATTGACCTTGAGCTCTGTTATGCATACACAATAAGTTATAATGTTCTCACTCACTTCTGTTGTTTATAGCATTGCTTTGAAAGGAAGTGTGTACAATCAACTGGTTGCTCTCCTGAACATGGAGCTCCAGGAATGCTTCCATTAATGGAAATGATGCTGGATAAAGTGTGTGGTTGCTTTCATATGTATATTGTAGTTTTCTTTTTATAGCAAGTCCCAATAGTTTTTGGTCAGTCAGACCTTGCATGCGTATATATATATATATATATATATATATATATATATATATAGTAATTCATTGAGTCTAGAAAAATCCTCAACAGAATGCAGAAAGTAATGGATGGCCGTTTCGTCCTATTTGGGACTCATCAGTAGTGCACATTTACTACCAAGTATATGTAACCCAATGGATTGTGAGGAAAGAGGATATGGCTCTTGGGGCACAATCCATTGGGTTATATATTTTTCTTTTACAAATATATTTTTTAATTATATCTTAACTTTTACACACATACACACACATACTTATACTGAGTGTAACAGCAAAATTGTCCAAATTGTGTAACAGCCTGGGATAATAGTCCATCTCCCAAAATGTTTAATATCTAAAAAAAAAAACACTAAATTGAGTTTTTTTTCCAGATTTTCAGATAAGACGTTTAGTCATTTTGACACAATTTGTTGCAAGAATCACTGAAAACCCCCCTTTGAGTTTATCAGCTAGGAAGAGAACAGGTTAAAATCAATTTCTGTCAGCCCCACTATGTTTTCCCAACTGAACAATGGTGAGAGAAAAAAGATCATTCAGGCCTTCAGTAATGGTACCAACATTCACACTCTGGCTTTCATCTTCAAAGTCCATTCAAGAACCATCAATAGAACAGGGAACAGTAGTGAGGAAAACTGGATCAGGAGGTCACAACAGGAAGAGGGATACTCATTTCTAAGATGCAATAATTTAAAGCTTAATCTAACACTTGCACAATTTTGCTGTTACATGATTTTGACAAATTTACAGTTACACCCAGTGTGTTTGCGTGTGTGTGTGTGTATATATATATATATATATATATATATATATATATATATATATATATATATATAATTATAGTGGTGATGAAAGCTTATGCATCCCCTTTTTGAAAGAATTGAATACAAAGAACTGATGTATATAGTGTACCACAAGTTTTCCAAATGGTTCTTCCCAGGTTTTAAATTCAGTTTTTGTACTTTTTCTAGACTGGTTGCCAACCAAGGCTATGGGGATCAGTTTAACCTGCTAACTACCCATAGCTAGGGTGGGGGGGAGAAGAAATGGCTTCATACCTTTCCCTTAGTTATTTGCATGTATGCACATAGAAAGAAGTTGACTGGAATTCAAACTTGGCTTTCTGATTTCTCTATTCAAGCCGTTATTCATTATTACATCACCATACATCCACAGTATTTTATTTATATAGAAATATGTATATATATTCCACCCCCCCATAAAATAAAGCACAAATATATGGTTATCAGTAATAAAAATAACAGGTGCTCATTGCCAAAAGACAGAGCTCACATATATAAATTAATGATAAAATTGTTTATGCTTCTACATACTGCACAACAACAAAAGTTTCATTCAGTATGCTTTCCTCAGGTGGAAATATTGAAAAAATGAAAAACAGTATTTTTGCTTACAGATTTCAAACATCTGTAATATGAAATAATGTGACTTTAAATATGAGATCATTGCAAAAGTTTGTGCTCGATTTTCATTGTTTATATAAAATGACTGCAACTTGACTGCTGTTTGTTTTGGTGCTGCTTTCTTGGGTGATCTAGATTGAAAGTTTTCATTGTTCAGTGTGAACCAGTCTTTGTTGAATGTTGACGTTTTGTCCATAAATGAATAACTTAAAGATGGAGGATGAAAAGTTGCACATTCACCGTATTATGCTATATGAATTTTGGAAAGGAATAAGCATTGGAATTGTAGAAAAAAAAAACATTTAGATAGTTTATTTGGATTGTGTTCCAGCTCTTTGGATGGTTAAAAATGTGGCCTGGCAGATTTTGTCAGGGTGATTTTAATGTAAATGATCAACCTTGATCCAGATCATCATCTGACATTGCTTGTTATCATGGAGAATAAACCGAAGATTTCAATGGAAGATCTTTCTAAGAGTTTGAAAATCAATATCTCGACTGCCTTTCATTATTTGAAACAACTTGGGTTCAAGAGCAATGGCCCATTTTGGCAAACTGGAAAGGTTTGGTTTGTTTATTTGCTTTGTTTTGTTTTACAGCATATCAACCTCAATGGGTCATTTACTGCCAACAACTTTTTTTTCCTGGTAATATTTTGTTTTGTCAAAAATCTGTTGCTGGTAATATTATTTTAAAAAATGTATTGTAGGTAGTTTTTTTTTTTTTTTAAATTTATTTCTGGTAATAATTTTTTACAAAGTATTTCTGGTATTAAAACCTATTTTTACACTTTTATAATGTCTTTTACCTCAGTTTTGAGGGTTAACTATTTGCCAATAGCTTGGATCGAAACAGGTGCTACCACCCCGGGTCAGGGTGAACCTGGGAACACCAGCAATTAAGAGGTGGTTCCGCACTCCTCAAAACCTCCTGATCAGAGGCCTTGCTGTTGGATGTAGTTTATCGTGTTACCCAGTACGCGGATGTAGTTTATTGTCATACTCAGGGCGACAAAGAACAATGCAAGACTGCATGTTGCAAAACAAACCCTGCAGAAGCTTAAAGAAGTGAAATAGAAAACCCTCCAGTGCCCATTGTATTCTAACTTGGCTTCTTCAGATTTTCATTTGTTCCTCCCTCCCCCCCCTCTCTCTCTCTCTCTCTCTCTCTGGACAAAACATATCAGTAATGTTGAAGACTTAATGAAAATAAGAATCACAAGGAAACTTATACTAAAAATCAAAATGAGGCATAAAATTTCTGGGACATGTAATAAGGAAAGCAGGCTTAGAAAGTTTAGTACTTACATGATATCTACAAGAGACATGGGGTGGGGAAATAATAAATAAAGGTATTTGGTTGGATGGCAGAACAGGGACAAAGAGGGATAGTAAAGGGTAAAAAAATTAGAGCATGAAAAGATAGGAAGTTGTGAAGAGCCATGATTGGCCATTTCCTGAAAGAATTTGGCTCTAGATAACAATGAACTCAAAACTTGAAACCTGAGGAAGATTTCAAGGAAGATGTAAAAACAACAAATTTTCTCTACATCCAGATCATCAATTACCCCCTTACCTCTGACTCTATATTTTGATTGTCCAATGCAGATCTACCATTATTCTATCTTTAGTTGAAACTGCAGTTATCAGTTCCTGAGGTGTGAGACATCACCTGTTGTGCCAATATATAATTTCTCACCAGCAAAGTATCAGATTCCTTAAAATAAGTATAAAGTACAAATAGAATAAAAACAGTTTTATTTCTTTTTATCATTGTATACCTCTTTTTTGCACACCTCCCAAAATGATGACAGCTTAATTCTTAAGCAAAGTTTTCTTGGCGTGTTAATGTTTGTCATTTACAGACAGTGTATGGTTGTGTGGTAAGTTAACTGTTATGGAGATTTTGCTTTAGCGTTTCAAACTTCATAATTGATTCAATGAAAATATTCTTTAACATTTCTCTTGAAAAACACACAAACTTCAGAAATCCTTTTCTTCACAATTCCATGAAAGATTCATTTTTCCTCAAACAATTTCAAATAAACACCTGTAAATAAATAACTTTCTCTTCTCCCCCTTCCCCATTCATCTGGTAATATTTACAGTAGTTACCCCATGGTTTCCATTCCTCAAAATGTTAGATGTGAAATTAAAATTTTTGGCTATATTTTTTGCACATTTCCTGTGATGAATTTTGATGAAGTTTTGGGAGCTGCCAAAACCAATTTCCAGTGAATCCAGTCACATTTTTTTTAAAATTTATTTTCTGAACATATGAAATAAATTATTAATAAATGTCGCATATATATTTAATTTGTATGTATGTATGTGTGTGTATATATATATATATAGCATTTAATTGCCAAACAATTTTATTTGAAATAGAAAAAAAAAAGATGACCAATTCATAATAACCTCTTCTTGGCTGTGAATGATTGAAATTCTTGACCAGACTCGATGGAATTTGGTTTTCAGTCATTCATGAAATTTTCTGAAAAAAAAAAAAAAAATAAATAAACATATTAAAACTCCCAATTTGCAATGCAGCAAAAATTAGTTTCTAGCAAATTCCACATTTCAAGAAATATCTTTTTTTTATGCTGTTGCTGACTTGGCTATTGCAACACCATTTGCCTTGCAGTGAATAAACCATTTACTTTGGTAAACTTTTGAAATATTGATCTTTCAACAAACTATATTTCTACAATGCACTTTTTGAACCAGTCTTGGCAGCAGACATTGATATTATAAGATAGAAAAAAAAATGGGTGCTTGAGAAAAATAATAAGTTGAGAATGACTGATTCATTTTTTTAAAAATTTAAATTAATTCCTTAAAAAAGAAAATTACAGTGATTCCTAATTCAATGTTGGGTGGAAATCTCACCGAAGGTAATTTTCAATCTTATGATTCAGTATCTACAGAAATTTAATTTAATTTTTTTTAACTATATATTATCCTATTGAATCGGTTTTGTCTGTTGAAATTAATAACAGGGCTGTAAGATCTGAGAAGTATTAAAAAAAAATAGCTTTTGCTGTTTTGCCATTTAGCATTTTGAAGTAAAATAAGATCTGCAATATTAAAGCATAAAAATTTGTTTAATAATTTTTCAGATGAGTATCCTTATCTTTGTTGTTTTGTTAATAACAAACTTAATTTAATCTTTGTGTTGTTGATGTTGTTATTCAAAATTCTGGAACATACTTCAAGTATATAATAGATTAACTGAAAACATTTGAATTCATCAAACATTTGAAGAGTTTTTACACACTTTATGTCCTGAAAAGAAAGAAACTTGCAGGAAAATTTACTAAAAAACCTAATTGCAATGCCTTGTTAGACATCTTCATTGAAACTTACATATACTGAATGGAACAGCAAAATAACATATACAGAACTTTAAGGATACACCTTTCATGTCTGGCACCATTTTGTCTGAATAATTCTCAACTGTTAAATATAACAAGTCAAAAGATATGGGTTATTGGTGGGAAGGTTCAACTTCTACTGATAGATGATTCACACCTACCTCTGATGCTGTGGGCTATCATAATAGGAATCATTACTTTTGGAGTGATTCTTAATATGAGACTGTAAAAGTGTAAAATTCAATAGGAAAACATCTCAACAGAATAAAAATGCTGGACAAACCAATCACAAATATATTAAAAACAACAAAGATAAAGATATATTCTGTATAATCAATATTTCAAGATTTTTTAAATTTTATTTTTAAATACATTTGGAAGAATTATATACAGAAGATATATAGAATTTGACTGATACAATAATCTCATCCTACCTGTGTGGAATATGTTCCATGATCTCTAAAAGATGTCTGAAAGTATGGATAAAACAAACACATTTATATACACACATGCGCATGCACACACACACACACATATATACCGGGTGTAACAGTAAAATTGTCCAAATCATGTAACAGCATAATTATCCATCCCACAAAATGTTTAATATCTAAAAAAAACTACTAAGTTTCTTTTTCATGGGTTTTCAGATAAGACTTTTAGCCATCTTGACGCCATATTTTGTAAGAATCACTGAAAAACTCTTTGAGTTATTCAGCTAAAAAGAGAGAGGTTAAAATTGTTTTGCGACAGACCCACTATATCTTCCCAACTGAACAATGGTGAGAGGAAAAAGATTTTTCAGGCCTTCAGTAATGGTACAAACATTCATACTCTGGCTTCCATCTTCAAAGTCCATTCAAGAATCATCAAGAGAATGGTGAATAAGTTTAAAAAAGAGGGAACAAGTAGAGAGGAAAAGTTGATAAGGAGGTGACAAGAAGGAGAGGGATCCATATTTCAACAAAGAGATCAATTAGAAAAGATCCAACTCAGTTCATAAGATGTCTGGCATGTATGAGAGGAGGTTCAGCTATAACAGTTCAAAGAGCAGTGAAAAACAACTTGAAAATGAAATTGTATGTGAAACCTGTGAGGCATGTTGTTACTTCAGGACAAAAGAAGGTTAGTTAGAGAAAGCAAAGATCATCTTAAAATAGTTGAAAAATGATCCTGGAATTATATATATATATATATATATATATATATATATATATATATATAAATGAACTTTATTTCAATCCTTCATGAGCTTCTGATCATTAGCTATGATTAATTAATGATGAACATGTCATTTTTGTTTATGATCGATTTTATCACGATACTTCTTTTAAGCTTAGAGATTAATTATACATTTATATTGCTCAAAGTAGAGTTTAATAGTTTTATAAAAACTTTGAAGAGTTCCAGTAAGTTATCTTTAATCATTTCTAAGAAACAAGGGTTCAGAACTTAATCTAACAATTGGACATATATATATATATATATATATATATATATATATATATATATATATACTATATGGACTCCCATTGTTGTCAATGAAGAGGTACAGCAGCTCAGTTCTTAGAACCAAACAGGGAGAGAGAATTAATACAAATAAAAGGTTGGTCACTTAGCTGATTAGTGTTACCTTCAGCATCCTGACTCTAGAGTTTTAAAGACAGACCCATCCGTCCACTTATCGGGGTGGTGGGGTATCAGCAATCGATTGCTTATAGTAGATATGTGCATTTGTGCACATGCGCCCAGGTACCCGTCTGCACAAATGTGCTTACATGTAGAATCTTGTGATTATTTGTCCTTTTTGTCAGCTTTTTTCACTTTACATTCATTCCTTCACCTTTTGTCTCTTTTTCTCTTTTTTTCTCTCTTTTTTTTGTCTTTCTTTTTTCTGTCTTTCTTTCTTTTTTTCTCTTTCTTTTTCCTCTCTTTTTTCTCTTTTTTTCTTTTTGTTTTTTTGTCTTTTTCTTTCTTTTTTCTCTCTCTTTTTTCTCTTTTTTTCTTTCTTTTTTCTCTTTTTTTCTGTCTTTCTTTTTTCTCTTTTTCTTTCTTTTGTTTTTTCTCTTTTTCTTTCTTTTCTCTTTTTTCTTTCTCTTTTCTTTCTTTTCTCTCTTTTTCTTTTTTCCTCTCTTTTTCTTTCTTTTTTTCTCTTTTCTTTCTTTTTTCTCTTTTCTTTCTTTCCTCTCATTTTTCTTTCTTTCTTTTTTCTCTTTTCTTTCAATTGTTGCCATTTTTTTTTTCATTTTTTCTAAACAGGTTGTCATTAATTTTTGAGCATCTAATCTTTTCTTGGGAAAATTTTATTTCATGTTTTACATAGATAATTAATTTTAATGCTTAAATAATAAGGTAAATATTTACATATATTGGCCATTGTTTCATTTTCTTATTTAATTTGTATGCGTATGCCTATATTTATACATTTACACACATGCACATACACACAAACATATGCATGCATATATGTATATAGATATACACACATGCACATACATACACACTTGTGTCTTTGTTATTAATATATAAACTCAGGCTTAAATGATAAAGTGATTTTTTTTTTTCATATTTTTAGGGTATTAATTATGGTTGGTTGGGTTTATATATTATTTTCTTTGCTGTTTGAATATATGTATATAAAGTAAACCACATATACTTCTGCACGATGTTTGCATGTTTAAAAAAATCAGATATGGTTACAATATATCTGAAAAAGACAATATGAATAAAGAAAAAAAGGAAAACTTAGCTGATGCGTTTCAACCTTTGACAGACTTTATCAAGATAAATGAGAGGATTTTATTTTGCAACAAATAACATAAACAAAAGTAAAAATATCTGTCTATATTTCTGAGATGAGGTATTATGTACATTGTCCTCATCTTAGTCGCCATATTTATTGCAATGTTTTGGCCCCTCAGTATCTGTCTATATTTCTGAGATGAGGTATTATGTACATTATTTACATTATTCGGTCTATTGTCCTCATCTTTGTTGCCATATTTATTACAACGATTTGGCCATTCTATGCTCCTGCCTTCTTCAGGTGGTTGGAATGTTGAACTTAACCCTTTATTTCACTCATTGGGGTAGACTCTTCTAGTTTCATGTGCCATGTTTAATGGATGTCAGTTATCAGTTAATTTCCCTCTGAAAGTTCTCCACTGCCTTAACTGGGTATTGAACTTACACTGTTTGGGTCCTGTCACTGGATCTAACTAACACTGAGCCATGTGTCCTTGAGGACATCTGTGTATGAATTTCTGGGTATTATAAACCGTCTTCAGCAACTATTTTTACCAGTGCTCATATTACAATTTTTTGCTGTTATCCCTCATGTTTTTACCAGAGCTCATAATGCAACTTTTCTTGTTATTATCGCTTTTCTCTGGCACTCCTTATTACTGGTTCCCATATTGTATTCATTTCTATGCTTCCAACCACCTGAAGAAGGCTGGAGTGTACAATGGCTGAAACGTTGTAATAAATATGGCGACAAAGGTGAGGACAATAGTTCGAATAATGTAAATAAAAGTAAAAATCTTAGTTTTTTTCAAAATTTTCAATTTAAGAGACACTCAAATATTCATCAGGTTAACTGAAAAGTCTAGGTAAATTATGGAGGATGCTAAGTGACATAATTTAATGTCTAATAAATTTGAGTAAATGAATTTTTTTATACAATTAATATTTAAATTATTTTAATATGGCATAAATTTATGTATTTTTTTAAATAACAGGAGGTTATGAATTTAACCATGTTCTTTTAATTTTTAATATTTTTCTAGTTATGTATATTGGCTTGGAGTAAGAGTAATTCTTTTAGGAATAGAGATTTTTAAAAAAAATCTGGGGCACAGTTTTATATTTTGATAAGATACAATAGTGGCACTCTGAAGAATTTACCATCTAAGTGAGTTACTTTCTCTTTTAATAAGACTGGCATCCTTTTGATTTTCAGGCCAAAGATTGTATTCATGCTTACACATAAATATAGTATACCTTAAAACTATTTTTTTTTTCAAGCAGCAATTTATTGTTTAAACAAGTTCTATTAAATATAATGAAGAGGGAATGTCTGTTAAGTATTTTGGAGAATTTCTTCTGGTGTCGGTAAAATCATTTTTGCTACATGAGACTAAAATCTATTTAACAATCAGAAAGTTCATGATCCCACTGAAATCTCAAACTTATGGGTGTAAATTCTTTTGAATTTCTATCTTATTTCTTTAAAAACAACTAATGATGGCTGAAAGTATTTGGAACATAACACACAACTTTGGCAAATTCCTTTAAAAGTTTCCATTTGATATCAAAGAGCAAAAATAGAAAGTCACACACACACACACACACACGGAGCCATTTAAAAAAGTATCCAAAATAAAAAATTAAAAAATAGTTTCAGGATATTGGCATCATCATCCCATTAAAATACTAATTCTGTTGGTGTATCCTACACTTATCCCAGCATCCTTTGGATTATGCAAGTTAGAAAACCTTTTTGTGAGATTGGCATCAGCTGTCTTATCACATTGTACCTAATCTTCACTGTCTATATTTATGAGATAAAGTATTATGTACATTATTTATATTATTCGGACTATTGTCCTCATCTTTTGTTGCCATATTTATTACAACGTTTCAGCCTTTCAGTATCTGTCTATATTTATGAGATGAAGTATTATGTACATTATTTACATGATTACTATTGTCCTCATATTTGTTGCCATATTTATTACAACGTTTGATTTCAGTATCTGTCTATATTTATGAGATGAGGTGTTATGTACATTATTTATATTATTCGGACTATTGTCCTCATCTTTGTTGCCATATTTATTACAACGTTTCGCCTTTCAGTATCTGTCTATATTTATGAGATGAGGTATTATGTACATTATTTATATTATTTGGACTATTGTCCTCATCTTTGTTGCCATATTTATTACAACGTTTCGGCCTTTCAGTATCTGTCTATATTTATGAGATGAGGTATTATGTACATTATTTATATTATTCGGACTATTGTCCTCATCTTTGTTGCCATATTTATTACAACGTTTCAGCCTTTCAGTATCTGTCTATATTTATGAGATGAGGTATTATGTACATTATTTATATTATTCGGACTATTGTCCTCATCTTTGTTGCCATATTTATTACAACGTTTCAGCCGTTGTACGCTCCGGCCTTCTTCAGGTGGTTGGAATGTTGAATTTAACTCTTTATTTCGCTCACTGGGGTAGGCTGTTCTAGTTCCACATGCCATGTTTAATGGATGTCAGTTATCAGTGATCTTCTGTTAATTTCCCTCTGAAAGTTCTCCACTGCCTTAACTGGGTATTGAGGACACATGGCACAGTGGATAAAGGTGTTGGTTAGATCCAGTGACAGGACCCAAAGAGTGTGAGTTCCATACCTGGTTAAGGCAGTGGAGAACTTTCAGAGGGAAATTAACAGGAGATAACTGACATCCATTAAACATGTTACGTTAAGTTTAAAATATCATAGAAATTCATTTTTTAACACAGAGTTAGGAGTTGCTATGAGGTGTTGACAGCCTTACAGCTCTATTGACAGCTGGAAATTTAACTAATTTTTTTCTGGGGTGGGGTACATCTGTAAAAATTACTTGGTGAATATAATATGAGCGCCATTTTTATATGATATTTTTTAAATAGCCAGTAAATTTTAGGTACAAAAAATTGATACATTTATACACACATACAAAAACAAATTCAGAATTTGTTTTTATGCTTAGTAAATATAGTTTTTGCATATAACAATATCACCTAACTGCTACAACTTAATACTGAATTCTAAAAGATTTAAAAGTTTATAAACAGTTCTTGTAAATATTCATAGAAAGAAACCTTTTTTCTTAAGAAATAATATCTTATTCATAAAATCAAATTATCTTGTTTCTCTTTTGAGGTTATGTCTTTCTTATGACCCATAGCAATTTTTATATGTTTAAAATTCAAAAATGAATATCAATACTTAAACTATTTATTTACAATATGATGGACAACACATGAATTGCATAATAAAATTTCCAGCCACCAAATAAGATATTATTAATATTTCTAATAAAAAGATATGTCTTCCACTGAAATTCTTATGGTATATTTATTTTATAAATATATGCTGAAAATATTATCAAGAATAGTTGGTTAATAGCAGTTTTATTTACTTACATAATAGGACAAAACATATGTATCAATATATGGCTTTCTGTATATGACGTATGTAGATGTAGATATATGTGTACACATTTGTGAGTAGGTATGTATATTGAATTTTAGTTGAGTCTGGCTTAAGGATACAGTCATGGAAAACCTAGTGACAGTTGAATGAGTTTACCATATGAAGAAGTAAATTTTACCACCTTTGGCTGTTCCTGAAATATGAGGAATGATTGTTTGTAGACAACAAAGAGATGTAGAACATTGATATGCATTTATTGTTAGGATTTTGCAGGGAGGAAAGAAAATTATTGGCAGAAATTCAGAAAAATTCTTGTAAATTAGTTAAGAGTCATGTGTGCCTTAAATAAACATGCATTTGTTTTTGTTTTGAAATTCAAAATTTTTGGCCTGAAATCATAAAAATATTTATGGCAGTTTTTTGATTCAAGAAACTTTAACAGATTTTGCAGCATGAATGATTCCAACTATAAATGAATAAAACAACTAAACTATGCGCACATACATACATACATACACACACACACACACACACATATATATATATATAGGCAACATATCTTCATTCAAACATGTTTCATTCAATACTATAGGCATATTGTGTCTATTTTTATATAGATCCTTTCCAGTTGTCTAATCAGTCTTTTGATGTTAAGATGAAATTCATCAAGGAAGCCACCATTGTTTTTTACAACAGATTTTATCACAGTTGCAATAAATTTGTCTTTGTAATTTACTCCTGAAGATGATCTTGCTAAAAGTTGAAAGTACATGGGTTAAAAAAATATGATGCCTTCCTTGATGAATTTCATATTAGCATCAAGAGACTGCTTAGACAAGTGGAAAGGATCAGTATAAAAATAAGTAGAAACAAACCTATATATATATATATATATATATATATATATATATATATATAAAATTATAACATCACTCCAAAAATACCCATTTTGTTTCAACACTTCTGGTGTCTTGTCAGGTGATGGTGTTGACATATATATACTTTGACAAACAACTCTTAGCTAAACAGGAAGTAGAAAAAGCCAAGT